TTCAATTTCTGTAGACGTTCTCTGAGCTCTCTCTAGTTTAAGGACCTCCATCCTGAGGACTGGTGACCAAACCTGAACCGCATACTCAAGATAAGGCCGAAACGGTGTCTTGTATAGTGGTAGAATTACAGATTTATTTCTTGATGAAATACATGTTTGAACGAATGCTAGCATCCTGCTGACTTTGCTTGCTGCAGCTTGGTATTGCTAAGTCCGTGGTCCACCAGGACCTCCAGATCTTTCTTTATCCCTGATTTCCCCAGAGGAGAACCTCCTAAGGAGTATCTTGCATTCATATTTTTAATTCCCAATTTTTCAATGTGCCATGTGTTTGCCGGCCCCTTAATGTTGTCAGGGTCTTGTAGTGATTTTATGTTCTGTTGTAAAGTTACTGTCCTACCTACTGTAGCTTGGTATCATCAGTTAACACTGCAATTGAGCTATTTATTCCATCCATGATATCGTTTATAAACAAGATAAACAGAATGGGTCCTAGGACTCGCAACCTTAGTCCATGTAGAAAGTAAGCCATTTAGTCATTCACTACCTTCCGGAGCCATTCCTGCAACCTGTTTTGAACCCAGGTATATACAATTCCCTCAGGTCCAGTAGACCTTAATTTAAAGGTTAATCCTTTGTGGTGTATTGTAGTGAATGCTTTAGCAACATCCAGATGGACTACACCCACTGGCCTTCCTCTATATAAAAAACTGCTTACTTCCTCATAGAATGTTAATAGTCTGGTCTGACAAGAACGGTTCTTCATAAATCCATGCACTTTATAGGCAAAAAGTTTAAAAAGAAAAAAAAACCCCGCTTTAACAGCGTTTTAAGCTTACCTTGTTTTCGCTGCGCTCTCCCGGCTGAGAAAACGAAACTGCTCCGGCGGCCGCAAAGCATCTTGGGGCGGGCGCATGCGCAGTTCGGATTCTCGGCCGGGAGACGAGCAGAGACGCAAGGTAAGTCTATGGACGCGTGCACCCGCATGCAGACACCGCTGGATTGGAAGTGCCTGCAGGGACAGGAGTCGGCGCTGGATCGGAGAGCCGCAGCAGGCTGCAGGGACAGATGAAAACATCAGGAAAGTAGAAGAAGATCGGATTAAGAGACATCATTTAAGGTAAGTGCTGACATTAACATTGGGGGGGAGGGGAAAAAAATATCATTTAATGTCACTTTAACCTTTCCTAACAGGGATCTGCATTTGCTGATATTCTTTTACTGCTTTTAATGTTATTTCCCTGGCTGTTATCCTGGCCCCTTGACTTCAACACTTTTTCAGTCACTGATCCGGAATTAGTTTGCAAAACAGAAAGTAAGATGTGCTTGTCTATATACTTATTCTGGGATAGTTACTCACATTTGTGAAGAAATTGAATCACCAATAGGGATGCACCGATACTAGTATCGGTGCCGAGTATTTGTACTCGCCCAAATGCTCCGAATTCTAGCCCAATATCTGAGTGTCCGGTATCGGGAAGCTAGGCGGCGAGTCATTACACGTAGCTCGGCTTCCTGATTGACGAGGGAGCATGCAGCCGGCTTTCTGGCCAATCAGGAAGCCGAGCAGCATGTAATGACTCCCTGCTTAGCTTCCTCATTGGTCATTAACCGCTCCCCGGCTTTCCGATCGGCCAGAAAGCCGGCTTTATGCTCCTTCGTCACTTGGTGACGAGAGAGCATGGAGCTGGCTTCCCAGCCAATCGGGAAGCCGGGCAACAAGTCATTACATGGCGCCTGGCTTCCTGATTGTCCAAAACGCCCCTCATGGAGACGGCTTCCCTGCTAATCAGGAAGCCAGGTGGCGAGTGAGTACATGCCGCCTGGCTTCCTTAATGGGAATTCCGGTATTGGTATTCAGTATCAGCGAGTTCACTCTCGAAAGCTTGTCTTGTATATATTTTGTTAGTCCAATAAGAAAGGTATCATTGCACACTGCAATACTGCGTTTGTCTTTTTTGACATCTTGTCTACTGGACTAATACGGCTTACCCATTTCCATTGCACATATATATATATATATGTTTTATTTTTGCCTATATCTACTGCTCTCAAGCAGTAGATATAGGCAAAAATTTTAAAAAGAAAAAAAAACCCGCTTTAACAGCGTTATAAACTTACCTTGTTTTCGCTGCGCTCTCCCGGCTGAGAAAACGAAACTGCTCCGGCGGCCGCAAAGCATCTTGGGCCGGGCGCATGCGCAGTTCGGATTCTCGGCCGGGAGACGGCCAGAGACGCAAGTTAAGTCTATGGACGCGTGCACCCGCATGCAGACACCGCTGGATTGGAAGTGCCTGCAGGGACATATATATATGGTACAATCACCAGAATTGTCATCCTAATTGTGAAACAGTGATTTGCAGACATTATGCAGGAAGGAAATTCCGACTTCGCTGGCTGCATGCTTCTTCTAGGTAATTGACTCATTAGATCATGCACAAGTCAGCAATGCTGGTTCAGAGGTTCCCTTTTAAGCCTTTATTTGTTTAAGAGCACCTTATCTACTTGGATGCAAAGAACAAATAAAACCGTATTACTTTTACTTTCACATTTACTTAGCAGTAACCCATTTGAGTTAAATGGAAAGTGATTTGACTTTGAGTGTCCAGCTTATCTGATATGCTGTATGGATGTAAAAATTGACAGAGAGAAAGTCACATAATTAAAAAGAAGGAATGCCTCTTGTAATGTATTCCACTCCAGTGTGTGATAGTACAGCTTAGAAGACCCACCAACCGGCAAACAGACAGGAGCAGGAAGAGTAAAAATTGTCCACTCTTTCTTCTCATTTCTCAATGCTTTCCTTTTCCTTTCCATTTAAGACAGGGTTAGGAAGAGTTATTTCATGCATGAGTTACTCAGCCGGGGATCCCCCAAAATGTATCCTATATGGCTCCTAGTTTTCAACCCCTTTTTACCCTGCTTTATCATTTGTAGGTTAAAGAAATCAGGTACTTTTAGGGGTGTGGCATCCTGTGCCTAGATTCAGGTCACTCTATTTCAAATAAAGAAATCAGGTAGTGGTTGCATGAAGGGGAAACAGAATTAAGGACAGCAGCTGGCACAGATAATACTCCTAAAAGAGAACTTTGGGGTATACTAACCTTCTCCAGTGACCCAAAGCTCAGTATATACGGAGAGCGCTGCAGCAGGGACGGATCCCGACAACACTGTCTGGAGCCACCCAGCTGTTTGAGTGACAGCTGGCCCTGCCTATCTAGAGGCAATGGAGGATCGGGGACGGGGGGAATCCAATTTTTGGTGACTGTGATTGGTGACTGACAGTCACCAATCGCTGCAGGGCGACGATAGGGAGGTGAGCGAATCAGCTGCATGTTTCTGCACACTTCCCGATCTGTAGAGCCGACCTGTGACAGCTGCTTTGTCGGCTCTAATTATGAGGATGAGTGGAAATCACTCGAATCATAGTTCTCTTTTAAGCATAATTGCCTGAACGGCTAAGCATCTACTGGGCCATGGATAGCATCTCACATAAGTGTCGCTGTCTTGGGTATCAATGCCTTGTTCTTAGTGCACAGAAGTCACCAACTGTCTGCAGAGTCAATAGCTACAGACCTCCAAACTTCATGTGGCCTTCAGATTGGCACAACAACAGTGCATAGAGAGCTTCATGGAATGCAGCACTTAAAGTGACACGACACGAAACTCATCTCTAAAGTGGTGCTGACACTGTCCTTCCTTCTGCAGGGTGGCTACTTTGGTTCCCCATGGTCCCTGTGTGTGTTATAAAGTAGTCACTGCTCCAAGCTCACTCCCAATATGGACTACAAACTCTTTTATATCACCGTTCCCCCTTTTACATCAGAGTTTCTTCTTTACATCGGGAGCCCCCTATACCTCAGTCTTCATTCTCCCCTTCATATAACAGTCCCACTGGCACAAATTATGAGGCACCCCTGAGGAAGCCAGAAGGCACACCAGGGTGCCACGGCACCCTGGTGGAGAAATGCTGTTCTAGAGTGCTGTAACATGAGAGAGGGAGCAATTAAGAGCTCACAACATTCTCTGTGCAGGTAATTTTAGATGGTAAGCAAGAGGAATGACACTTTAAAGTGATATTAAAGTCAAAATGTTTTTCTACTATTTCCAATACTGATTTAATCACTTACAATGGATGCTGCTCCTTGGTGTTTGAAAGTTTTAGCTTCCTGCAGAATCAGCTGATCCCCTGAGCATTGGCCCTGATATCCTGTTCTAGTGTGGCTCCTTTCCATTGCAGGGTCCTATATAGCCACAAGTTCCAAAAGGTCCCCACCGCACTCCTTACTGGTATGTCTCTTTTTAAGGTGGGTGCTGCAGTGATAGTGGATGGCGCCACTTCAAATCCAAGTAGTAAAATATATCACCAGCACACCAAAGTAAAATCTACAACGAGTGGTCATTTTATTGATGTAAACACATCTCGTCGCAAAGCAATGTTTCGGGGTCACTCAGAGTCCCTTCATCAGACACACAGGCACAGCAAGGCAAGACACTTCTCTGATCGCCACTCCTCCTTTCTCCAAGCTAGTTGATTGACAGCCACTGGAGACTGTCCTGTCCCTTCTGATCTTGTGCTCAACAGGAAGTTTAGGGTAGCGGAGCCAAGAGAGTTGGAGCCAATGTTTTTGGAAACATGACGTCTGTAAGTGTTTTGGCAAAAATGTCAATGAAATACTTTGCTGGTCAATGTATATTTATTTGATATGGATTCATTATTGAAAAATGTTTTGAGCTTGTAATATTACTTTAAAGCTGGTTTTGTTGCCAGAAGCTGAAGGTAACTATATTTATCTATGGAAGTCTGCATTAAAGTGAACCGATGGCTTTTCCTTGACATAGGCAAATAAAGGTCAGATAAATCAATTGTTTGTGTGGTTATGTTACCTGAATCACAGACATGAGGTTGATCTTACAGTTACTATTAAAATGTATCTTGATGTTCTACCATTTTACCCTTCTCCTCTCTCTTATAATGTGTCTTGTGTTTTTTACCCCAGATAAACTGACACCATGCAACCTCGAGGACCCTGATGCCCTGCACAGTGTCTGTGATGGAAGGGGGGGGTAGTTACTCACAGCCTGAGCTACAACACGGAGCCAGCGGAATGTGTTCAACAGCTGCTATGCAATACCAGCCCAGCCAGTTAGAAATAGAGGTAAGGGTTCGTTCTGCTGAATGTGATTCCACTTTGGCTTGTTAAAGTTTCATTTTATACAAAGCTATATTTTTAATTGCATGAATAAAACCAAATATGCAGATTTTTGTCTTCCTGCACCCAATCCAAGGGGTTTGAAAGAATTTCTGGCTTTTGGTGCCAGGAAGTAATTCAGCAGTGCTCATATTTGCTTTTAAGATTTGATGCAAGTAAGCATTGGCTTGTTTAGGGGTATTCCTAGGAGGTCTTAATTAGTGCTTCTGACATCAGAAGTGCTTGATATCAATCACAATTTTTTTTCCAACTGTTTGAAAAAACTTTTTGCAACCTGCACAGATTATTCAGTAAGAAGATAGAAGGAAGTAGAGGACTACCCTTGCACTGTATTAGTTGGGGCACCATAAGATCTCTTCCCATCTTTTGTCTATCCAAGTTAACACTTTTCATTCTGTTTTTTGAAAAGAGTGAACAATCAAGATGGCCTTATGGAGGTTTTCCAAGTTGGAAATCTGAGTTTTAAATGAGAACTATGAGGTGAGTGAAAATCACTCAGCCTCATAGTTCTAGTCGACCTGTGACATGAAAACTGATATAAAACTGGCACACGTCGGCTTAATAGATCGGGAAAGTGAGCGAACACATAGCGTCGCTCACTCCTTGATCATGTCCCTGCAGAGAGCCGTGACTGTCACTCACGGCTCCCTGCAGGGATTCCCACTCCCCTGTCCGATCCTTCAGCGCTGACTGGCAGAATGGACGGGGTAGGGGGCGGGTACAGCTGGCTCTGCCTCTAGATAGGCAGAGCCCGCTGTCAATCACGCAGCAGTAATGTCGGGATCCCTCCCGGCTGCAGTGTCTCAGTATACCGCGAGCTGTAGCTTGCGATATACTGAGCTTTGGGTCACGGGAGGACGCTAGTTTGTGTCCTCCCATTACCCTTAGGAGAACTATGGGGAAAAACACTTAACCCATAGTTCTCCTTTAACCTCCTTGGCGGTATTCCCGAGTGTAGCTCGGGGTTACTTTTCCATACCATAAGCGGTAACCCCGAGCTACACTCGGGAAAGCTGCATAGCATTTACTTACCTTGTCCCTCGAGCCGCGCTGTGTTCTGCGGCCGATGCCGGGTTCCGTCGCTTGCGAGCGTATGCGTTGTAGGGGGGGCAGAACCGGCGGGATATTTAAAAAAAAAATAAATAAAAAAAAAACGACAAAGACGAAAAACATTCGAAAAATGACATGAAAAAAATTAAAAATTATACCGCCAGGGAGGTTAATCCAAGTGATGAGCGCTTCTGACATTGGAAGTTTACTTTCTGCCTCCTAGAACTACTTAAAGTAATATCCCGATCTTCACCCCGGTGTACCACTAAGGTCTCGTTCACACCTAGACGTATAGCATATGCGCGTCTGTTGCGCGTTTTTTTAACCGCGATTCGCGGTAAAAAAGTCGCGCGTTTCCGAAGGCTACTTGGCTGTATCCCAATGGACACGCGCAACAAAACGGCCCAAAGTAGTACCTGTACCTTTTCAGGCGTGGGCCGTTTTGTAGCGCGTTAGGGACGGGCGGAAATACGCCAAGGTGGGAACGAGACCATTGAATACAATGGGATTTAGATGTTTGAGCGTTTTGTAGAGCGTTCGTCGAGCGTAGCACGTGCTACAAAACGTTCAGGTGTGAACGAGGCCTAAGTCACTAGAGAACAGGGAAAGTAGTTTTTTTTGACAGAAGAAACCTATGAAATCTCATCTACCAAAAAACTCTTCTAGCAATTTTGGCTTTTCAAGTTCATCTTGAAGTTCCATCATAGATCAACATGACTGGTCATAATATCCAGACTTAGATTATTTTAGCTGATAACATTTAAATGAGTTGTGACCTAAATTCAGCAATTATGTACATGCTATATTCAATAGAAGTGACAGCACTATAGCCAACATATTTTCTAAATGCTTTAGACCAATTAATTTTGTATTTTTAGTAATTCTACATTATCAGCTTTTAGCTTTAATTTTCAAAGCTTAATTGAACAAGCTAAAGATAGAAGCCGATTGGTTACTATGCACAGCTGCTCCAGTTATAGTAAATCCCTTCATAGAATTTGGTGTTGTGCTGTACAAAAATAGTACCTGGACAGTGAAGATCTCTCCTGGTTTAATGTGCAGCAACACAAGCATGTGCTGCTGCACATTAAACCAATAATGTGCAGCGCAAGGATGCAGTGATATTTACACAGGTCACATAGCTCCTAATAATTCATTAGTGGGTTCATTATTCCTTAGTAATACACCCACAAATAATCTAAAACATTAAAGGGGTTTTGTACATGGTTTTTAGTCGGATACTTAAGAAATATTGCATCATAGTGTTTTGTTTTAGGCTTACACATTTTTCAGGGACTCCATATCTCCCTTATTGTAAACAGCCTGTTATTTAAAGAATTCAATTTTATCAGCTCAGATTTATACACATATTGGCCTGTGAATTCCCGTGTTACATAATAATGTTTATTTGTGAAGTAAATAATTTATCTTTATTGTAAACACATCTATAACAGGTTTAAAAATGGGAAATTTAGAATATAATTGCATCCAAATATCTGCAGCTGCATTCCATCCTGCTTCTACAAGGGAATCCGTAGAACATCCCTTCTGAACCAGGGTGCCGTTGAGAAGGGATGCCGTGGCACCCTGGTGTGTCCTCCTGGCTTCCTCAGGGTTGCCTCAAAATTTTGTGGGACTGATGTGAAGGGGGGAGTGAAGATTTTTTGTGTGTGGGGGGGGGGTCCCCCTTACTTTTAAAGGGTGTCGTAACTCAATAAAGGTTGAGAAAGACTGCTGTAGACCATTTTGAATTGGGCAAAGTTCTGACACTTGTTGGAAGTGTTGAATCTTGCCTGCCCCTTCCCAACCCCCACACATTGTTGGCTCATCACTATGGTTAGCTTCCTCCCTGACCAATAGGAATGTGCTTGAGGCAGCTTTGACACTACCAGGATGTGGCAGGGCTTTGCCCTAGCAAAACAACCTTTGGAAGCCAAAGTTCTGACTGTTGTTGGTATGTGTCACTATCTCTAGATGCCTACAGTATTTAATTGCTAGAATAACTTCACCACAGATAACCTAGATAACAAATAATGCAAAACTTGACAAAAGCTGGATACACAAGACAAAGGTTTTGCGCTTTTCATATTGGCCCATAGTCTCGGCACAGAGCAGCCATGCCGAGGTGACTGACGCATGTTTGTAGCAGTTGCTGTGCTGCTGCATATATGCATTACACCAGCAGTAAGTCGTTAAAAGCTACACTTCCATCACGGGCAGAAAAGACCCGATCAATGCACACACCCGGTACCGGGTGTTTCACATATAGGCGATCAGCGGGTCCATAGCCCGCCGATCGCCTATATGTGCTCGTTCGCGGCACCTTATTGTCTGCTTCATCAGCTTCTTTTGGGGTCCACAGGTGATATTAGGGGTCATAGAGACCCCTTATATCTCCATAAAGAGGACCTGTCAGTGTGCCTTTGCTATTATATAGGGGGTTGTTACCCCCCTATATAATAGCAATAACAATAAGTGCAAAAAAAATAAATATAAATAAAAAAAAATAAAAGTAACACATAAAAAAGTAAAATAAAATAAAAGTCACATATAAAAAAAGGGGAAAAAACCCCCCCAAAATGTTTAACTCCCCCACCCCCACGTTTACGCGCCTATAAACGTAAATACGCGTCCGGTGCCCCAGCGCGCAAAAATTACAATTGCGCTACACATGTTACATATCGGCGCGAACGTCGCAGTGAGAGCAATCATTTTAGGGCCATCAATCACTGATAACACTAAACTGATGAGCGGTAACAGCTTTTAAAGCGTCGCCTATGGCCAATTTTGGGTATTATCGTTTTTTGAGGTTTCGCGCGCGCACGCAATTTTAAGGCTTGACATGTTTAGTGTCTTTTTACCCGACGTGACCCCATCTTTTATATTTTACCAAAAAATTGGGTAATAATAAATGTTTTATCATTTAATATAGGGGAAACTGTTTTTTTTTTTAAATTTCGGTAATTTTTCCTTAATATAGTAAAAAAATAAAACCCCCAGTGGTGAATAAATACCACCAAAAGAAAGCTCTATCTGTCCCCAAAAAAGGGTATAAAATTCATTTCAGTACAGCGCTGCATGACGGAATAAATGTCAGTTAAAGTACCGCAGCGCTGAATACTGAAAAATGGCCTGGATGGGAAGGGGGTTTAACACCGCGGATGTCAACTGGTTAAGAAAAGATGTTATGCTCACCTCTCTGGTGGCCTGTGCCCTCCTATCTTCGCTCCATTGAACCCACCAGGAGTTCCTGTGTCCCGTGCTGCCTCCTGGCATTCCATCCGCTGCCCCATACATTACATGTTCTGTACTACATTCTTTTGCAGGGATCTGCCCTTTTGATTTATTTTTGGAGACTTGGGCAGGCTAATTAGAACTGATATTTCAGTTTGTTAAACAACCTGACAGTTTATTATAACTCTGAGATCTGTGTACTTGAATTCTTGGATCTGCACACTTTCTGTGGCCATTGTGAGTGGGTTCCAATTTTTCAATCTACTTTACTTTATGGAGAATGCAAAAGGAGGTGAAACCAGCAGTTGACTTGGCCTGTACTCACCATTTAAAAAAGAAAGCAAAACAAAATTAAACTAACAGGCATTGAACATGTTTTCTAAAAATGTTTATTGTCCTAAACTGTGATGAGGTAGGCGAGGCATGAGAAATATTACTGAGACACTCTCCCGTTTTACTGTTTCTTGCATAGGCCTGACCAACAGCTCAGTCAGTTTGACACCTTGCCTTCTGAATGTTATCAGGAGGCATAAGGCTCTGCAGCTAACATGTCCCTGCACCTAGGGTACATCTCTGTAAGTTGTAGCACCCTTGTGAGCGTTTTTTTTGCTGGGAATGGCCATATAATTGATTATCTGTACTATGCTAGAAATAGTATGGTTTGCATAGCAGCATTTGTATATAAGCACAGAAGAGCATGCCAGACCATAACCAACAACAATAACCACAAAAACAAAGATCAGCAGGTGTTTTATACTAAATATTTAATTTAAGACAATATCAGAATACTTTTGTTCCTAATTATGCGCATCAGTAAAAAATATAGATTTTAAATAGACTTTTTCAGGACAACGTGAGCAGCCTATTTATACTGCAAGGAATTGCAAACAGTTGTAATACCTTTAAAGCGACACTAAACTCAGGAGTTGAATCTTAAAAATGTATTCAAGTATCTTAACTTTTAACAAAAATGTATCATTTGTGTATCACTCAGCTGTAGATCCTCAAATCATCTCTCCCCGTGAAGGACTACAATCTCAATAAAAATTAATAAACTAAATGTGAGCTTACTATCCATCACTGGAGTGAGCTTGGAGCGGTGACTACTTTACAACACACACAGGGACCATGGGAAACAAAAGTAGCCACCCACCAGAAGGAAGGACACTGTCCGCACCAATTCAGAGATGATTTGAGGATCTACAGCTGAGTAATACACAAATAAGATACATTTTTGTTAATAGTTGGGGTACTTGAATTCATTTTTAAGGTTTATCTCCTGAATTTTTCGTGTCCCTTTATGGCTGGGTGGAGGTGACCGTAATATCAACTACCTAGAACCCATGTTCTCTTTATAATCTATTGTGTGGTGCTGGGTAGTGCACCTAAGGGGCTTCAGATAATTCCTTTTGTAAGTGTTTTTTGCTTCTATTTTCAGCATGTACTAGTTATTTTGAGTCTTAAAGATTGTTAATGGATAATTGTAATTTCTATTTAGAAAGCACAGTATTCAGTTGGAGGCGTTATAATTGCTTTCTTATGCACTTTTGCTGTGATTTCAGGCCCCGGCGCTGGCTGGTTCCCAGTGGACACATTACCCATATTCACCTGCTCATTGCTTGCCCCATGCTCCTCTCACCAGCTCAGATTCGTAAGTTCCCTGTCTCCCCTTCACCTTTCCGCTTGCTTTAGCTGGCACACTATAGCGTTATCATTTCTTTCAGTTTTTGCCTGTCTTTTGCTTGCATCTGTCAAATGTCAATTCTATTTTATACTTTAATGGTCGGTCACTTTATAGTCGGCTTTATCCTCTAAATTATTTCCTGTACTCCTTTGGGGGAAGTTTCTCCTGTATCTGATACTTACTCTGATTTTTTTTTCTCTAAAACAAAACAATTATGCTATTTCCATTGTCTGCTAATTATTGATTTACACCTCCTACAGTCCACTGTGGGGGAGTCTTCTGGAAATCTGCCATTTGACACCTGCATGCACCTTTTAACATCTGGTTCCTCCTGTTTAGAACTTGGAGAACTTTTTGTCATCCTGTAAAAACAATAGGCACTGACTTCTTTGCAGCACAGACTGAATTCCTGGAACATGCCTTCTTCCAGGTGTGTTCATATGCTATGCATCAGGTTTCTGTTGCTTTAATGACACATAGTTCTTGTTGCTGATCATCCACAATTCAGCAACAATGCCACCTTTCTAACACACTGTCCTGCACTGTTTCTTCGTTAATCTATGTCCTCGTTTGTTATAGATAGAAAGAAATTGCTCTTTTTGTGCTCTTTCTTTTTTCATGGTATATTTCTGTTTTCCTCACAGATCACAGTTTAATGGCCAAACAGAATATTATAGTCGGAATTTCTCGACTCCATTCTCCAACTACTATTCAGAGAGCCAAACGTACATTCAGGTAGTGTGTTTTTGGAGACCATTTGTGTACAGTCAATACTTACATTTTACCGTCATTGGTAATCTTCATATGTTCTATCAGTGTGTGGTTTAAACCTGGCCTTAGTTATGTGACCTGTTTTTTTTTCACTGTGCACTGCTTTTTTCATTACTGTAAACTCATTTTTTTTTCTATTCTCTTTGTCACATTTTAGTTTGGCAGTTCACAGAATGATATTTTTGCTGTTCAGACGTATTTTTGTTTTATTGCATTTTCAGACATGTATTTATTTGATGCTGCCTAAGCAATTTTGATAAAATACACTCTGAATTAAAGGGGATTTGAAGCCAAAATGTTTTTCTTATTTAGTTTTGGACAGAATGGGGAAGGCTTAGACCTCTAGTTGTTTTGTACTGCTATCTAGGGCTCTGTTAAAGAGTTTTTTCCCCCTCCACTTGCTGTCCTGCTGAAAAATGTTTGTTTTTAGTAGACAGGGTTGGAAAATCTGCAGGAGGGACACAGACAAAAATAAAAATTTCAGGGCGAGTGGGGATGAGGTGCTAGACCCCAAACATTCTGTAGTTGTATAAAAACAATATTTTTGGCCTGATTGCTTGGTTCCGACAGCTCTTGGCAACCAAAGGGAGGGGACAGCCAGAATGAAACATCCACAAAAATGAAGATTTAAAAAAGAGTGCCAGGTGCTTCTTTCAAAAAGAACCTTTATTGACTTTAGAAATGGCGACAAGATATGCACAGCCAACATGTTTTTTTGGGAGGTTCAGGAATCCCCCTTCATCATGGCTTAAGCAATGGACAACAGGACACTGATGAAACCTACAGCCCATTGCTGTAAAAAGATCTTGTACAAATGCTAAACTGTTGGTAAAGTACATTTATCGCCATTTGTGAAGCCAATAAAGCTCTGTTTTAGTGTACAAAAATAAAATCTGACGTGGGTTCTAGCTGTCCCCTACTCTACTGAAAAATATTTCTGACTTTATTGCTGTTGAAGAGTTTCACTCTCTTCCTGACTGGTATGTTGTCAGCAGGATAGGAAGTGAGGGGAAATCTCTTAAAAGAGAACTATGAGGTGAGTGCTTTTCACTCACCTCATAGTTCTAGCCGACCTGTGACAATGAGACTCGCAGGTCGGCTCAGTAGATCGGGAAGTGAGCGGACACATACCGGCATTCGCTCACTTCTCGATCCTGTCACGGCTCTCTGCCGTGACAGGGGAGGGGCTGGATTCCCCGCTCCGATCCCCCCAACGGACGGGGGGGGGGGGGGATGCGGGTACAGCTGGCTCTGCCTCTAAATAGTCAGAGTCAGCTGTCAGTCACGCAGCTGGGCAGATATCGATGTCGGGATCCGCTCCGGCTGCGGCGTCTCAATATACCGCGAGCTGTAGCTCGCAGTATACCGAGCTTAGGGTGACGGGAGGTGTTTGTGTCCTCCCGTTACCCTAAGGAGAACTATGGGGAAAAGCCCTGACCCCATAGTTCTCCTTTTTAAGGAGCCCTGGAGAGCGGTAAAAAACCTGACAGGTTCCAACACTTATGAAGAAGGTTTTAGCCGGACAAATGCTTAATTACTGTGCTCGACACACCATGTGTTGTTTACTAAGACCAGCCTTGGATCGGTACTTCTCTCCAATATATACAGGAGATGAGACGTTAGCCATAGCTGTGATCACAGGATCCTCTGGGACTTTTAAAACCAACTTGCACAGTGTGGAAGAGGTTTTTAGTTAGTAATTACAATTTTCTAAAATGCTTTAGACCCCTTTTTACATGGGCATTCTGATCAGGTCCGCTTCTCCGTTTTTTGGGCGGATCTGATCGGAAGTCTGATCGTCTTTGGGCAGCAGCCGGATGTACATCTTACATCCGATTTACCCCCGGCTCCGGCCAAGTCTGGAAAATCAAACGGAACAGAGTTCCGTTTTGGCTGGCCTGATTATGGTGGATAAGGGGTAATCTAAGGTAAATGGACACTTGTCAAACTAACATCCCATTCCCCATAGACCAAAATAGGTCCGGTAATTTAAACGGTAAAAACAAGGATGACATTTGTTCCGAAGTGCTCTAATGCTCTAAGCAGCAGGGGATCTGTGCATGGATCCCATGCTATTTGGAACTGAAGGTGCCCGTATTGAAAGGGACCCTAGAAATCCCACCAAGCTACAACCGGTACTTTCAGTAATGATTAAGACCCATTACAATAAGCATGCTATCATCTACACAGAATTCAAGTATTTGTCCCATTCCTTGCTAAAACTGAGTAGTCTATGGCCTCCTAACCCCCCTCATTATTATATTTACTGCATTAATAAAGACCAGTACATCAATGGAAACTTGTGATGAGAGAAATGTGGAGGCTGCAACTGCTGACCTCTCTGAAAATGCTAATTGTTTGGCTGCTTCTTGTTCTAAGGGCTTTTGTGGTTAGTGACTCACTGACCCAGAACAGAGACATAAGATCAGGAAATCCAAGGGCAAACTGACTTCATGTGCCTGTTTTGGTCTATTTTACAATAAATATTGTATCCAGAGGCAACCCAGCATCTATGATTTTCACAAGGAGGTCAGCAATGTCCCCTTTAGTTGTCACAGATTTCCGTAAATACATGAAAGAAAGGGAAACATTTTTTAGTTTTGTAAAACAGTTTGATGGCTGTCCCTTAGAAATATCTAGTCGGCCAATATGATATAAAATGTTATAATATACTGTAGCTGTCCATTGTTTTTTAACCCCATTGAGATCCTTACCGTCTTCTGTATTTTTGTAAAGGGACTTGTATATAAAAAGTGATTTCCCTGTGTATAGCGTCACAATACTGGACAAATATTAACCTAATGGTCATCTCGCTAATACCGAATACGTTTGTGAAAACATTTGATGCTTTTTAGAAAAGGTACTGGTCGTCTCTACTGATTCATGCTATTTTTTCAAAAGTGTTCTGTTTCAATAATCTCCTTTTTCCAGAAGTCATCAGTCATAATTCAATGAACTGTCTGATTCAGCTTCAGAAATTCATCTTGGACATTCACTAACCGTCTTCAGTGTTTTGCTGTTTTTAAGACCTTTTGTAACTTTCCCTTGCCTTTTTATTCTGTGTCCATCTCCCCATTTCAGAGTTCATCCTTGTAAAGTTTTCTCACACTGATCTTTCTTTGTGTACCATGTTTCAAGTTTTATTTTGAGGTTAGGCACCCTTGCTTTGTCACATTATTTTTCACCATTTCCTCCTTAACTCTGTATCCCCGCTGCCTCCGTCCTCCCTCCCCACTCTCTTCTCTGTGTCTGGCTCCAGTTCTGTGGTGACCTGTGCTGAATGTTGCGTAATGTGCAGTGATATTTCCAGTAATGTATGTGTGATCGGACTAAACTGCAACAGGGAGAGGCATTATCTTCTGCAACCTACGCACACATACCCCTTCTTACTGCTCCTCTATATACAATGCTAAAGCGCAGGCAAAATCTTCCAAACTTTCCAGATTTGTCAGGGAAATCCCAGGAAGTTCATTTGTATTGTGTACGGTATAAGAGGAACTGTCCTAACTTCCCAAGCCGCTTTAAATCTTTATTCCACCTGTGGACATGCACCTGTTCTTGGGTGTAAAATAGCTTACAACTGCCGAAATTCTGTGTTGTAACTGGCCTTGTCCTGAATTCTGCTGCTTGTCAGATAGCTGAACAAGGGAAAATAATCATGATCACTTCTGTAACAAGACCTGTAGGCCTGGCTCTGTTGCCAGCAGCTATTGACTTTAGCTGTCATTTTTATAGGAATTGCAAAGGGAGAATTTGTTTGGTTGCTCTGACTAGCATAGACAGGTTTTCTATGCTTCCACGAGGCCTAATACTACCAAGCAAACATACCAGGAGAGAAATATGGAGGCTGGCAATCCTGATCTCTTCAAAATGCTAGTTGCCTGGCTAGGTGTCTTTTACACTACAAATATAGGTAGGAAATTTTAGTGAAAAGTTAGATTTCAGTGTCTGAGTGCTTAGTTATAGGTCAAGCACTCATGGGATTGAAGCAGTTGAATAAGCATGACAACCATGTAGTTAGCGTTTTCAGCTGAAAAAGTTGGCAATGGCAGCATCTGTTTTTTCGTGAGAGGTTTCTTTTAAACAAGACATTCTTTCAGTATGTGTTGTGGTTTGCTGTGTACTAATTTTAGTATGAAATGGCATGATTCCTAAAAGGACAAGTCCAGGATTGTCCTCCTTAGTCCCCTTAATGAGTCTAAGCTTAGCCACCACCCCCTCATTTACCTTCTGCAATGGAGGTGGCCTCTAGCATGTTTACAGCCTGTACATTGACATCAGTCCCTGCCCTCAACGAGCTTACTCTCTAAGGTCCCTATTTGACATGCATACAGGGCCAATTTAGACAGGAGCCAATTCATCTTCCAGCATGTCTTTGGAGTGTGGAAGGAAACCACAGTACCCGGAGGAAACCCACGCAAGGACAGGGAGAACATGAATGGGGCATTGTTTTATTAAGTGGTTCAGTCTAGGCGACGTTAGACTTAGATGAGGGCAGGCCAACAGTGGGCCAAGCTATAGACCATTGTCGGAGAGGGTAACTTAGCCCTGCGGGAGGTATAGCTCAGCTTAGGGTAGTTTAGAGGGCTAGGGAGAGAGGCTAGGATGTGTTTTTATAGAAATTCTGAGCTTGTCCTTTAAGCGTTGAGGCACACAGGAAGTTTTATGTATGGCTGGTTTGTATTTGCTGCACCATTAATGTCACAAAATGTATCTGGTGGAAGTATAGATAAAATATGACATAAAACTTTGATTAATTGCCTCAACAGTTCAAGTAAAAGTAGTCAGCTAAACACATTCAATTTATGTGATGGAAATACTGTGGTGCTGTACACTGTGTTGTTGCTCAACTCAGTCTATCATGGTAGAAGAGATTTAACATTCTTGCATGTGTGAGGACAAAATACTGTCCAATAATGGGGATCTGCTGCATACTCTTTGCAGAATATTCTATTCATAGCTGA